TTGTACAGGTCAGGACCCTGGGCCCAAAAGGAAAAAAATATTCGGTGAAGGTACACACACGTTGAAGAGGTCAGGACCCTGGGCCCAAAAGGAAAATATACGGTGAAGGTACACACATGTTGTACAGGTCAAAACCCTGGGCCAAAAAGGAAAATATAAACGGTGAAGGTACACCACACACGTTGTACATGTCAGGACCCTGAGCCCAAAAGGAAAAAATATACGGTGAAGGTTCACACACGTTGAATAGGTCAGGACCCTGGGCCCGAAAGGAAAATATATACGGTGATGGTACACATGTGATGGTACACATGTGTTGTAAAGGTCAGGACCCTTGGCCCAAAAGGAAAATATATACGGTGAAGGTACCCACACATTGTACAGGTCAGGACCCTGGGCCCAAAAGGAAAAAAATATTCGGTGAAGGTACACACACGTTGAAGAGGTCAGGACCCTGGGCCCAAAAGGAAAATATATAAGGTGATAGTACACATGTGTTGTACAGGACAGGACCCTGGGCCCAAAAGGAAAAATATACGGTGAAGGTACACACTGGTTGTATAGGTCAGGACCCTGGGCCCAAAAGGAAAATATATGGTGAAGGTACACCACACACGTTGTACATGTCAGGACCCTGGGCCCAAAAGGAAAAAATATACGGTGAAGGTACACACACGTTGAATAGGTCAGGACCCTGGGCCCGAAAGGAAAATATATACGGTGATGGTACACATGTGTTGTAGGTGATAGTACACATGTGATGGTACACATGTGTTGTACAGGTCAGGACCCTGGGCCCAAAAGGAAAAATATACGGTGAAGGTACACCACACACGTTGTACATGTCAGGACCCTGAGCCCAAAAGGAAAAAATATACGGTGAAGGTTCACACACGTTGAATAGGTCAGGACCCTGGGCCCGAAAGGAAAATATATACGGTGATGGTACACATGTGATGGTACACATGTGTTGTACAGGTCAGGACCCTGGGCCCAAAAGGAAAAAATATACGGTGAAGGTACACACACGTTGTACATGTCAGGACCCTGGGCCCAAAAGGAAAATATAAACGGTGAAGGTACACCACAGACGTTATACATGTCAGGACCCTGGGCCCAAAAGGAAAAAAATATACGGTGAAGGTACCCACACGTTGAATAGGTCAGGACCCTGGGCCCAAAAGGAAAATATATACGGTGAGGGTACACATGTGTTGTATAGGTCAGGACCCTGGACCCAAAAGGAAAATATATACGGTGATTACATGTCAGGACCCTGGGCCCAAAAGGAAAATATATACGGTGATAGTACACATGTGTTGTACAGGTCAGGACCCTGGGCCCAAAAGGAAAATATATACGGTGATGGTACACATGTGTTGTATAGGTCAGGACCCTGGACCCAAAAGGAAAATATATACGGTGATGGTACACATGTGTTGTACAAGGTCAGGACCCTGGGCCAAAAAGTAAAATATATTGCTGCTGAAAACAAAAATTTGTTGCCTCAGGAATAACTCTTAAATAATGTAGAAGCAATAAAAAGTTATCTTTCATTTCGTTTTCATATTTAATTTCAATTTAAAGGACCATTAATGAAACATTATATAATGGTAAATAATTAACACAATAAACAGGTACCATCAAAAGCTTTATCTAGACCCAGTCTCCCCTCCCCCTTCCCCTCCCCCTTCCCCTCCCCCTGCCTTCCCCTCCCCCTGCCTCCCCCTCCCCCTCCCCCTCCGCTGGCCAAGTAGGATATGATAGATATTGTACAATAAACAGGTTAACAAACAGGTGAAAACAATCAAAAGGTAAGTAAAACAATTAACAGGTTAAACAATTAACGGCTAAAACAATAAACAACTAAAAAAATACAAGTAAACAAATAAACAGTTAAATAACAGGTAAACTAATAAACGGTCAAATAACAGGTAAATCAATAAACAATTAAAGAACAGGTAGACCAATAAACAGTTAAATAACAGGTAAAATAATAAACAGTTAAATAACAGGTAAAATAATAAACAGCAAAATAACAGGTAAAATAATAAAAAGTTAAATAGCAGGTAAAATAATAAAAAGTTAAATAGCAGGTAAAATAATAAACAGGTGAGAAAGTAAACAAGTGAACATAAACAGGTCAACATGAAATACAGTGTTATATAATCAGGCTGACTGTAACTATCATGAATTTAAGGGGGCTGCTATTTTGGAATCAGGATCAGGGTCCACATATATATGTCTCAGTAACTTTGTTTACAAACCAACAACTACTCTGCACCATGTGACATCTCCTGGCTCTATGTTAACTACGTAATACAGTGTTGGCCCTGTATCGGGTGTAACACATACATGTATGCATGAACGTGCTTGCTGTGCCATTGCTTCTGTGTTGAACAGTGGGTTTCAGTTGAGTATTGATTAGGAACCACACATCATACCCGGCTAATGGCAAACACATCCGAACACCCGACCTACCATTAGTTTGGCATTATTTAAACATCTTTTTTTTAAGCATGTTTATATCAGTAATGAAAAGGTAGTTACTAAACCAACCATGATTTACCAATACATTATTTTGAATTCAAGTGTAGCGGAACTGTACTGGGTCGATCGTCGGCGACATGATAGCTCAATTGGTAGAGCATCCGTCTAGAGTTCGGAGGGTCCCGGGTTCGAACCCCGATCTGGCCGTGCATTTTTCCTCTCCTGTTTAACATCCTTTAACCTATAATTTTATGAAAATTTCTGATTGAAATATACCACCATCACTAAAGTATATGTTTATGTTCTATATTACCCTGGATTATGACCCTACTGTATACGTTTATGTTCTATATTACTGTAGATTATGACCCTACTGTATATGTTTATGTTCTATATTACTGTAGATTATGACCCTACTGTATATGTTTATGTTCTATATTACCCTGGATTATAACCCTACTGTATATGTTTATGTTCTATATTACCCTGGATTATAACCCTACTGTATATGTTTATGTTCTATATTACCCTTGATTATGTCCCTGCTATATATGTTTATGTTCTGTATTACCCTGGATTATGTCCCTACTGTATATGTTTATGTTCTATACTACCCTGGATTATGACCCCACTGTATATGTTTATGTCCATATTACCCTGGATTATAACCCTACTGTATATGTTTTTGTTCTATATTACCCTGAATAATAAACCTACAGTATATCTTTATGTTCTATCTTCCCCTGGATTATACCCCTACATTATATCTTTATGTTCTATCTTCCCCTGGATTATACCCCTACATTATATCTTTATGTTCTATCTTCCCCTGGATTATACCCCTACATTATATCTTTATGTTCTATATTCCCCTTGATTATGTCCCTGCTATATATGTTTATGTTCTAAATTACCCTGGATTATAACCCTACATTATATCTTTATGTTCTATATTACCCTGGATTAGAACTCTACTATATATGTGTATGTTCTATATTACCCTGGATTATGACCCTTCTGTATATGTTTATGTTCTATATTACCCTGGATTATGTCCCTACTATATATGTTTATGTTCTATATTACCCTGGATTATAACCCTACTGTATATGTTTATGTTCTATATTAACCTAGATTATGACCCTTCTGCATATGTTTATGTTCTATATTACCCTGGATTATGTCCCTACTATATATGTTTATGTTCTATATTACCCTGGATTATGTCCCTACTGTATATGTTTATGTTCTATATTACCTTGGATTATAACCCTACTGTATATGTTTATGTTCTATATTACCCCCTGGATTATAACCCTACTGTATATGTTTATGTCCATATTACCCTGGATTATAACCCTACTGAATGAGTTTATGTTATATATTACCCTGGATTATAACCTCACTGTATATGTTTATTTTCTATATTACCCTCGATTATGACCCTACTGCATATGTTTATGTTCTATACTACCCTGGATTATGATCCCACTGTATATGTTTATTTTCTATATTACCCTGGATTATAACCCTACTGTATATGTTTATGTTCTATATTATCCCCTGGATTATAACCCTACTGTATATGTTTATGTTTTATATTACCCTGGATTATGTACCTACTGTATATGTTTATGCTCTATATTTCCCTGGATTATGCCCCTACTGTATATGTTCATGTTCTATATTACCCTGGATTATGTACCTACTGTATATGTTTATGTTCTATATTACTGTAGATTATGTCCCTACTATATATGTTTATGTTTTATATTACTGTAGATTATGACCCCACTGTATATGTTTATGTTCTATATTACTGTAGATTATGTCCCTACTGTATATGTTTATGTTCTATATTTCCCTCCATTAAAACCCTACTGTATATGTTTATGTTCTATATTCCCCTGGATTATAACCCTACTGTATATGGTTATGTTCTATATTACCCCCTGGATTATAACCCTACTGTATATGGTTATGTTCTATATTACCCCCTGGATTATAACCCTACTGTATATGTTTATGTTCTATATTTCCCTCCATTAAAACCCTACTGTATATGTTTATGTTCTATATTTCCCTCCATTAAAACCCTACTGTATATGTTTATGTTCTATATTTCCCTGGATTATGACCCTACTGTATATGTTTATGTTCTATATTTCCCTCCATTAAAACCCTACTGTATATGTTTATGTTCTATATTTCCCTGGATTATAACCCTACTGTATATGTTTATGTTTTATATTACCCTGGATTATGACCCTACTATATATGTTTATGTTTTATATGACTGTAGATAATGACCCTACTGTACATGTTTATGTTCTGTATTATGTTTTATACCCTGGAGTTTTACATTATCTTCTATTTGTGTGTTCGTCATTAATTGTTTTGAGGCCTTACAATGTTTTTCTATGTTCTCCGTTGCACAGCTGATGACGTATTTCAGTACAATGGTTCCTCCTCCTTTACCCTCCCAATCATTACCCCGGTTACAAACTTACCATGGACCTTGATGTTTTCTGTAACCCTAGCGATGACATTGCCCGTCAGCACCTCGCCAGCGTAATACACATCCTTGTCCAGTTCAATTTCGAACTTTTTCACGTAATCCATGGCGTGTACACTACTCATTGGACAGTCACTAAGAGTGGTCAGATCTCAGTGTTTAATCCTGACTTGGTCAGTATACATCCCAAATACGTCCAGATCCTCTACAATAAAAGAAAACAAAGTTTAAATAAACAAAAACATTTGGAATTACTCCATACACCTTTTTGAAGTCATCAACCCTTTTAGTTGGACACCTTATTGTTACATGAAGGATTGAAATATTGCGTATCTTTATCTTTTCTTTCAATCTCATTGTTTTATTCATTTATTTATAATTTTTTATCCGTTCCATGGTCACCTCCAGCTAGCCATTTATGACAACAGACCAAGTCACACGTATAACAGTATATCCGTTTTGTGACATTCCAGAAGGTTTGCACTACAAAAAGGAGTGTGACAAGGGCCCTTATTCTGAGATTTAATTACCCCAGAGAACACAAGGATTCGGACTTGATGTGTGCCACTCAGAACTGACCATAGCGAGCAGCGACACGCTCTGTATATAAGGTCCTCCACATCCAATAAACACTGGTGATGATAACAGACCAATGAAACATCAGGTAACATCAACTAATTGATGAAATTCAGGCGGAAGCACGATATGTGCTGATATCGTTTCCGCAATCTACAAATGTCAGGAACTAGTAAAATCAATAATATATTAAAATCATGCATAGATTGTTTGCAGCTGCCATATAAGAATTGGAATCAGGAAGTAATATACAATTTACAATGAGAAGAATAAAAAAAACCATAAATACATATTACAAATGTACATAAAACAGGATATAAGATCAGTGATCTGTTTAACATGTATTAAAATGAAATACACATCTGCCAGTACATATACGGGAAATGTGTTTATCAAAAACTAATTCAAAGAATTTCAGTTTGTAATATTTTGTGTATTTATCCATGTATTGTATGTACTTTATTTGACTGTGTATTGTATGTACTGTATTTAACTGTGTATTGTACGTAGTGTGTACTTAATTCCTATTGAAACTGACTTCCTCATAGCTTTAGCATTGAATTATATGAACTTGACAGTCAGTTCCTACTGAAAATGACTTCCTCAAATACTTAAACAATATTTTCTTAACAATTAAAGAAGGAAAGAGATAAAACCAACAACAGGATTCCCTAAACAATTTAAGAAATCGTAATACTGAAATGAAATGCGAGCTGACATTTCTACAACGATAAAAGTGCTTTTTTGATATTGCGTTGATGATGATATTGAAAACATCCTGTCATGTGACACGGATCAACTCACACGGCACCAATGAACACGTGTGAATCCGAGACCCCTATCACATCACATCCTGTCACATGACACCAACGACTGGACACGCCGTAGAATACAGTGCCATGTGTCATTACTGATTAATTATTCATGTAAATTTGCCTGCATTTTCATTAAAAAATACATTAGCACTTTGCATGTTATTTGGTAACGTGTTTTTGGGGAAACATTAAGAAGAAGCTGTATCCCATAAAAGCTGCGTGCAGATGTATCAAGGTTTTAAAACCCTAATGCAGGTGATGACCAATAAAATGCAGGTCACAGCATCATCAACGCAGGACACCGTGACAGTATGACCTCATCACCACCTGGATATAATATGGGTTTCAATATATTGTGTTACATGTTTTATTCTAATTTAAAAGCTTTTAAACATTTGTTGACTTTCTGCAACCAGTTGTTTTTATTAGCACTTTAATTTCCATAATACGTGCATTTTTTTTTTTTTTTTATTGAAATTTACAAACTCGAATGTTAGCTATGTTTACCTATGGAACATTCTGACTAAACACTGAGTGACGAAAAACATGCTTTTAAGGGGAACGACTGTATGTGTAGTGAAGGACTCTAAATGCTTTCCAAGATTTTGCATTTTTTTGTAGTTTAGTTTAAACATATTTTATTGTACAAATATACAAATGGATCGGACAACAAGTTATTACAACTTAATAGAGTCCTCTCCTCAATACATATTGTAAAAAAAGTGTATATGTTTTTGGGGAAAGGGAAAAGGATAGGTTGAGGAAGGAAATGTGGGGTGGGAGAGGGTGGGGGTGTTACCTAGAAAATTAAACTTGTAAACTGAGAAATCGATCCGCATTTTAATAAATTATAAATTATACAGATTTCATGACATGCATCCTGGTAGAGTAATTTCAAAATGAACAGAATCAATGTAACAAATAAATGAGGCAAAATAATGAAATACAATTTCATAAACACACATAACAACTTACACATAAATAAGAATAGAAAATTAATTATAACTATCAAAACCTATTGCTGGATTGATGTAATGATGCACATACTGACGTTGTTTTCTACCGAAAGTTGACTATTTCCAAACAAAAGTAGTTCTAAATTAAAATCAACATGCAAGGCATTCAAATTTAGGAGCCGGGTATGTCTTTCGTTGTTAAAAAGTAAGCACTCACAAAAAAAGTGAAAGGCATTTTCACAGGGATGGCCACAATAACAAACTGAACTATCAACCAGATTTACTCTAAAAAGATCATAGTTAAGTGGACTACACTGATGTCTAAGTTTAGTATGCAAAATGTTCAATTTACGTTCACCGAAACCTAAGTAAATTGGTGGAGGAGATTGTACATTTGAAGTTAATGAATTTTTAAAAGAATGTAATGAGGGCAATGATCGTACTGAAAGGTCCAATGAATTCCAACCGCGAAGAGTTGATGGTATAAAAGATAAATTTGTTAGAGAAAGCCTGAAAGGACGAATTCTATAATCATCATTGTTTCTAAGGGTATAACGGTTATTTTCTGCAACGGAAGATGGCAATAGAGAATTTAAATAGTCTGGAGTCAATTTGTTGTGCATTTTATACAAAAGTTGGAGTTTTCTGCATTTTCTTCTATTCGAAAGAGTTTCTAGACCAGTTTCAAAAAGTAAGTCTTCAATTCGGGCATATGAAGGAAGACCAGTTATAATACGAGACGCTTCTCTTTGGGCTTTCTCTAACATTTCTGTTTCATAAGTTTTACAACCATCCCACAATTCACATGCATATTCTAAAACCGGTAAAATGAATGATTTATAAATCTTTAAAAGATTATCACGATTTAAGTATTTTAGTCTACGTAAGACGTTGACTTTTTTCATAACTGAAGTATATATTGCACAAATATGATCCCCCCATTTTGCACTTGAATTAAAAATTACACCTAAATGTTTATGATGATCAGTAAAATTTAAAAATTCGCCATTAAATTCTAATTGTAAATCTTCATCAATTTCAATCAAGTTTGAAACAAAAAATACCTCAGTTTTTTCTGGATTGAAAGTTACTAACCAAGTTTGTGACCATGCATTAAGAGACTCGAGATCTCTATTCATAACCGTTTGGATTTCTAGACATGAAGAGGATGATTTTAACAAAGAAGTATCGTCTGCAAAGATTCAAACACGTCAGCAATATCATTAATATAGATAAGAAACAAAAGAGGTCCAAGAATCGAACCCTGAGGAACACCTGCTTCAATGACACTTAAGTCGGAGTAAGAAGAATTCAAAAAGACTCTTTGATGCCTCTGAAATAGGTAATTTTCCAACCAGTGATACAATTCCCCTGAAATTCCATAGGATTTTAACTTAATCATCAAACCCTTATGCCAAACCCTATCAAAAGCCTTAGAAATATCGCAGAATACCATACATACATGTTCTTTTTCCTTCTAGAGCAATACAGATGTTATGATAAATTTCAATGAGCTGATATACAGTAGAATGACCAGGAAAAAAACCAGACTGGTGCTTATAAAAAAGTGAGTTTTCAATAAAATAATTATGCAAGTATTTGAAAATTACCCTCTCAAACACTTTTCCAACTGTAGATAATAAGGAGATTGGCCTGTAGTTAGAGGGATAATGCCTGTCACCTTTTTTAAACAGTGGCATAACTTTGGCTGTTTTCCAAGAGATTGGGTAAACACCAGACGATAAAGACTTATTAAAAATGATTTCAAGGGGAACACAAACTGTTTCTGATGTGTTTCTGAGCATATGGTGACTGATTCCATCCTCACCCGAGGCCTTACCAAGCTTCAATATCTGTAAAATATCTCGTATTTCATTATTATTGGCTCTAATGTACCTAAGACTCTTGTCAGTTTTTGGTTCGATGAGAGGAACCACAGTGTTTCTGTCATCTACACGAGTTATATTACAAAAATAGTCATTTAATAAATTAGCTTTGTTTTCGTCACTAGTAACCACATTGTCAGAAACAGGATCTACAAGAGTAGGTATAGATTGTGTAGTACCAGACGATAGCATTAACCTTTTGATGAGCTCCAATAAGCTTTTGAATCAGAGGACGAGTACTCTTCAATAATATCATGAACATTTTCATAAAATAATTTACGGGCATATTTTTTCATGTTATTGACCTTATTCCGTTGAGATTTGAATTTGTTGATGTTCGAAAGATGTTTGGTCGACCTCGCAAATTTATGTAACTTATCTCTAATTTTTATTGTTTTTCTAAATTCAGAGGTCATCCAAGGTTTATCATTAGGTCTCATAGTTACATCTTTTGATGGAATACATATATTTGCAAATTTTAGGAACGTATCAGTAAAACGATTACAGACAGTATCAACTGAATCACAATTTTAAAAAAGTTCATTCCAACTATAATCAGAAATAAGATAATTTAATCCGTCAAAATCTGCCCGCTTATACAGCCAATTTTTCGCTTAAAAATAGGTTTGACAATACAGGGAATATCAATGCAAACAATACAACCGTCATGGTCACTCCATGATTTGTCTATAGTTATAACAGAAGAATCAATACAAGAAAGCGAGTCGGTTAAATGTATAGGATCAAGAAGACTAGATCGAGTCGATCCAATACGATTTGGTTCATTGATAACATTTGATACACTAAAGGAATTTATATTATCAAGAAAAACATGGTTACGAGATGCAGTTAATACGTCGACATTAAAATCCCCCGTGATTAAAACATTTGGTGAAATATCTAGAGCATGGTTTAAAGACGTACGTAAATTGTCCCATTTTTTTTTGTATCCTGCAGGTCAGCTATACTGAA